GCTGCAGCTCTTTTTTTCCTCCCCCCTTCGCCCCTTTCCGGGCTCCCCTCCCCTATGGAGCAGTTGGGCGCTCCGAGCCAGAGCGCTCGCCGCGGTTCGGGACTGCGGCAACGAGGGGCCGCTCAGAAGAGCCTCTCCATCACACTAAATAACCAACTACATAAAAACGTAGCTGTATTTTTTAAATACATATATGTAGTGCATGTTCGAGTGTTCATATTTTTGCAAGTTCCAGGCATGCTTTTTTCTTGCTGCTAGAGTTTTTCCACTGTCTCACCCAACAGCATCTCGTGCAAAGCCCCATTTGCGTCAAGCCGCAGAGCTCCTCATCTTACAGCTCATTTTAAACGAAAAGTTAAACGTTTGTTGGGTAACAGGCAAGGAATGTAAAATCACCACGTTATACACGGTTGTGACCACCTCTGTCTTTAAAGCAATTATAAAACCTGTGCCCTAACCCAGTTCAAAAGAGCGGAATGCGACAGCACGGATGGCTGACGATGCCAACTGAACTGCAAAGCCACCGCTTCCCACCCCAGCTCTGTCAGCAGCAGGTCTAGTTTTTGGCTTTAAGCTCAGCAACGTTTTTGAGAGTATTTCAGCTGGCTACGCTCTTAATTAATATTCGCTCACTCTGCAAATCCCATTAGCCCTTTCCCAATTACTGGGTAGGAAGTAAAAAATGGGCAAACCCTTAGTAGGAATTGTTCAGTACAGTCACCCTCCAACAGCTCCTGAAGGCAATTATCCCAGAGCATTTTTGGGGTAACCGCGTCCAAGTCTGACGCAGTGACAGCGAAAGTTTTTGCACATTTTATACTAATTATATCAATTATTTGGTAATAATAAAGCTGGTAGCGAGTAATCCTTACGTAAAAGCGCACAGTCCCCAAACTGGCTCAGCAGCTCAGCTTGCTCACACAGGCCCGAGGTAAGAACGTCTCGTTCCCCGTGAGAAAGCTCTCTCCCTGGGCACGAGGCGTCAGAGATCACGAGGACACCGGCAGCACCTCCAAACAGGCAGGCACATTTGTCTAAGGCCTTAGGTTTCAGCACTCAGCAAACAGCCCGTGTATCTCACGAGAGCGGGAAATAAAAGTTGGCTTTAGCCACCAGCTTTAAGGTCTCTATGAAAAACATAAAGGTTTTGTACTTAAACAAAGCTCATTTTTTATCCTGCACATATGTAAGCACTACTTGTCTACCAAGACTTGTAGCCTTTCTTATTTAGCCCTCAGCAAAAATTGGGTCCGTTTTTCCCAGACACTCTCTAAATCACCTGGTGCATATGGGAAACCAAATAACATGTTCTACTCGATTAATGGGAATGCAGTGCTCACTCCATGGGACTAGGAAAGCAACAGCTAGTTCAGTTTCTTCTCTGACATTTAGAGCATTGTCAAAACTGCTTTTTTGACAGGTATATGAGCTCACTAAAAGAAATCTCAAGTAGTGAGTCATTGGGGGAAAAATAATAAATCCTCCAGTTCTCTTCACACCTTCTCATCTCTCAAATTTAGAGCTGCTGTTCCACAACCCCTCCCCGTGGTGCACATACAGTCTGCTCGGCCCTTCTGCTACTTTGAAACCCTTCCTTTCCATCCATACGGATCTTCAGTCTTGTTTTTCACCACATAGCACTCATGCAGACACTGAGCTATCCACGCCACAGTTTTACAAGAGTGCCTTGCTATCCTAGAGGCTGATGCACTCGTCTGCTTCTTGAATCCTTTTCACCTTGCAGTGTTCCGGGCAATAACCCTCTACCTGAAGTATAGGATATCTCACTAATAAAAGTCTGCTGCTATAAAGTATTTAAAGACATTTCAGTGTCAGTTAACAAGGAAATATTTAGGCAACCGAGCACTATTACAGTAATGCTCAAATTGCCATCTGGAAGACCCAGATTCAAAAAAAAAAAAAAAATCAGGCTCTGGATCCCAGGCTCAGTTCATGAAGGCCAAATACATTGTAAAGAAGATGCAATTAGTCTCCAGGGAAAGGCTTCTGCAGATTGTCATTGGCTATGCAGAACGCAGCACAGTCACTCGTGTGGATAAAAATAACATATTGAAATGGCAGCTGCTCAGCAAAGGAAGAGGATTCAAGCAGGGATAAAAATATAAATTAGAATGAGAAAGAAAATGATGAAATACCTATGAAAAACGTTAAAGGGTAATTGACTATACTAAGTCAATGATATTTAAGATGCACCTTTAAACCTCTACCAGAAAACACAACTTTTATTTCTTACAGCACAACAAGGTAATTAATATTCTCCTGAACAAGCTCATGACTAACAGAGCTAACTACCTTAGCCAACATGTACACACAGCAAATGATTTTTGTTAAATTTAGAACTCCTGGTGATTATTTTCATTACCCAAAACCCACTACTCTGAAAATACCATTTAAAGACACAGGATTTCTTCGAAGTTTCAAGAGACAGTGACTTCAATCTCGAGATCTCTTCCATGTTTAAGGTGCTTGGAATATACACTTGAACAAAGCACCTGTTCTCCTAGAGCCTGCTACAACAATATGGAAGGGGCGGTGTTAGTGCTGTGTGTTAAGCACATGCTAAGTCAATATTAAAGCCTCTCAAAGACTTAAGAGATAGCAGTGAGACCTATTAGACCATGTGAATTATTTCCATGCCATTCTGAGATTGCTCTCTATAGTATGTTTTTTTTTTCCTTTTTTTTTTTCAGTACAGAACCTATTTTTAAAGTTCTAAGCCCAGAAGCTTTTCCTTTGAGACAAACCATCTTCAGCTTAAAAGCATCGTATGCAGTGATAACCTATTTAAACGCAAAATAAAAATATTTTAAAGGATCTGCTTATATAACTGTCCCTGTTTGAAATGGAAGGCCTGATTTTGAACCAACCACCAAAACTTGTCATATTTTAAGACTTCCATAGCGAGGTTTTTAAAGATTCCTTCCAATTGGTTTAAGTGAAGGTGATACAAAGATTTGTAGAGAAACAGGAACTGTTAAGATATAATCTTAAAGCAACTGATATAAATAGGAAATATATAAATATATATACACATATATATATATATATATATATATATATAAAGAGGATCGGGGTCACAGGAGCCCTTCATCAGACGTGATTTGAAATGTGTTTTGGACCATGAGGCAGCAATTTTTTCCAGCTGCATCAGTTGGTTTGACTAAAGGTATTTCCTCTTCTTACCAACCCTGCCCTACTTGCAGACCAAGTCATATTTCAGACCGAAGGGAACGCAATGAACACAAAACATTGCCAGTTTGTCCAAGATTGCTCCTCCAAGCAAGAATCACTATTAAAACAAGTCAAATTTCACTAACACCACAAGCCATGTTATGAAAAGAAACTGACTTTTAAAAAAAACATAAATCCATGTTGCTTTTTAGTGGTCTCATGATTAGTAACAAAACTGAATTCTTAGATAATCAGTACAAATAAAAATTTACTACTTGAACTGAAACAAAGATTACCGTGTAATACCAAAAAAAAAAAAAAAAGAGAGAGAGAGAGAGAGAAACGAAACTTCTGAATGTTACACTATAAGTCATTTCTATTCAGGTATAGATAAATAAAATATGCAGACAACACTGAGTAATCAGTAAGCTAAGGTTTTTCAAAGTAAGATTATGTTTGGCAAAACAAAATAAAGAAAAGATAAACCCCAAGTGCAAGTTTGTTGTCTGTTCAACGCCCTTCCTTTCCCCTAGTATACAAAGAACTCCGCAATTCAAGTCGGCAAAAATAAAGAACTAAAAAAAAATGTGATGAAGTATTCAATGTTGTTCTTAAACTAGTTAAACCTCATTCTTCCCCAAGACAGAAAGTACTTTGACGTCAAGCAAAAAGTTGTATCTTACCGATGTGAGAAAGATTCCTGAGGCTGATCATTTTCATAGATGGCACATACTGCATCCATCAAAAACAGCACAGGCAACTTAATTAAAAGATCAGCTTAGATTTCTATTTCTTATTGTTTTGGATAAAGGCAGAAGACACTTAAGTGCTCACCTGCTGCAAGAGCTTCATCTAGAGACAACTGGAAAAGTGATGCCTTCATGAGTTGACCTACATGCACTAGGTGCACAATTTAACTGTTATCGTCCTAACCAAAACTGAAGTTTATTATTCTAAGCGACCACATTGCTGCAGGAAATAGTCTCTTTCTAAATTTACCTTTCAGTGAATCATTTTCAGCTCTCATTATGTCAATTAGCGAGTTCTCCAATGAATGCATGTCAAAAGTCCTTGTGCGATCCTGCAGATAAACATAAACAAAGCCAGTTTAGGCAACATACAGTGTTAAATAAAGCTATCTCAAAAGTATAGAACTTCACTCTTGTTCTACATCGTTACAGCAGAACCAGCAAAAGCACATACCTATACGCTGCTAAAGTCAGGGTGACACAAAAATAATGCAAACTATAATATTCCTATTTACGAGTTGGATCCCCAATTCCTTTGTATGTCTTGTTAAATTTTATTAAACATTTAAAAATACTTTCAGTTCAGAGACGGAAAGTAAAGATCATGGGATACTGGGAAACACATTGTAAGGAAAAATCATAAGAGAGTACTTCAACCTAACTAGAGAAAATGGGAATTCTGGAAACTTCTATCACTTCCTGCACCTAAACTACTATACTATAAACTGCACTAATCTAGTTCTGCACAGTTATTTCAGATTCTGCATAAATAGCACTATTCCAAATAGTTTGGTTTACTGCGTGAAAAGTTAGTTGTGATTTTTATTTCAAGAAGTTCTAAAATTTGATAATTCACACATTAGTAGAAATGAAGGAAGATGCAACACATCAGAGGCAATATGACTTATGTGCCCATTATCTCAATCTTTCTGAAGCATACTTACCAAATATTTATCTTTCATATTAGCCAAAGCCACCATTTAAAACCTATATAGCTCAGTCTTTCCCAATTAAGACTTCAAATTCTACATCTTGCAAATCTGGCATTAATGTAAGCCACAAGAAAATATCACAGTTACATTACTTTAATTAGGAAATACAGGACAACCAAAGTAAATATAAATTTTGAAATCTTTATAGTATCATAAAAGGTCACTAAGGTAAGCCAAAAAAAAAAAAAAAAACCACACCTCTGATTCCCAAAATTATTCATCAATCCATCTTCTTCATCTATTTATACATACAGATATTTTTGGAAACAGCTAGATAGAATTTTTAAAAACGGAATTACTTGACCTTGCATCTAATTTTTCTGTTCAAGAAGAATGCTAAAATCAGTTATTTGAAGGTTATGAAGGTTATATTTCAGTCACTAAGAGATTCATTTCTGAACCAAGATGAAGCATGAAAAGTATCTGTTCACATCTGAGAGCAAGGTATGTGCAGCTCGAGATGGACGTTTGCTCTGAACTGCTTCTCTCCTACAACTATCATTAGTACAGCAGTGCATACATAGTTTTTGTCCCCAGTTGTATTTGTGAAACTGAAAATTCTGCAAAGCAAACAGACTTAGATTTAAAACTATGAGTATCAAGAAACATTGTCTTTTGCCTGCATTATTAAAGTGCTAAAAGCAGTACCAAAGTCAGTGTGAAAGAGGCATTCCTTGAATCAGCCAGTGATCAGTCATCTGGGACCTTAAATGTCTAATACTATTTTAAGAGCAGGAATCTGCTAGCCTCTAGGGTCCTGATCCATTTCCAAGTGAGTAGATTACATTCCTACTGATAGAAACAGTTTTTCATCTCAATTTACTGTTATTTTTCTTAGATTATGGACACAGAGCAGGTGAAACATTTCTACCCAGCTGTACTGCATTATAAATATCATTAGAATGATTAGAGTTTAGAACCAATTGCTGTATTAGCCTAGTCCAAAATCAAAAATGCTCTGAAAAGTTGTCCAGTCTCTCCACAGTATTTACTTCCTTGCTCATAGTTTAAGAGAATAGATGAACCCATTACAAACATTTGCATTCTTAAGTTCTGTTTTTTGTTACTGTTGTTTCATGCATTTTCTCCTGGTTTCTTCCTTTCCTGGTAATATTTATTTTATTGGCATGGTTTATATGTTACTGCTGCCTAACTATTTCAAGCTCTAGTTACAATAAAATACATTTGGAAGGTTGAAATTAAATAGCATAAGCAGGTAAAGGTGCAAACATGGTAGTGTATACACCATTAGAATGGATCCATTAGATTCCAGCAGGATCCAGCCCAAGAACGGACAGCGGAAGACAAACTCTGTGTTTTCAGGAATCTCCACAAAGTGGCAAAAATAGTCAAAAACACAGGTAGAAGCATTTCCTAAAAAACAGACATTCCTTAGTTGCTATTCTTTTTCCATTTTGGTTTCTCTATTGCATTGCATATCTTTTTATGGAATTAATCTCAACTCAAAACCATGACCAGCTACAAAATTCCTACCTCACAAATTGCAAAACCTTAGGAGTTTTGAGTCTGTGTTAAAATTATGGCACTTAACATTTCACTTTTCTGAAGGAGACTAAAGGAAAAAACAAAGTCAAGTACTTTGACAATAAACACAGGTTTATTGTGCTGTGCTGCATGAGCCCTCTGCTAGTATCTTGTCCCTCAAACGCCTGCGTTAGTTGAAGCAGGGCTACAACGGTGAACAGAGTTTCACTGAAATAGGTAGTTTTCAGCACTGAGAAGAGAGTTCAGCTATTCAGAGATGGAATTGAACTGGTTATCTGATAGGACACCACAAAGCAAACGGAACTTTCTGTGGAGACGAGTTCCTGGCTTTCCTTTTCTGACTGAATACGAAGGATGCAAGCAGATCTTAATTCTTTTTTTCGGGTGTACGGCCCATAAGCTCCTAAACCTACTGCGAACATTTCGAAGCACAACCTTGTGCACAGCATAAAAGATTAAGTGACCATAGTCACATCAGTAGCTATTAGCTATGGCTTAGAAAGGACTTACTGTAAAGCATGCCTAAAATCCAGTCTACGCTCATACTCCTTGTGCTTCAATGGCTCCAGACCCTGCTTGGTACTGATCTGAAACACAGAATCTAAGCGCTCCTATTGTCCTGTCTCACGTGACAGTTTAGATGCCATAGCTATCTAGAGCATCCTTAAAATGCTGATATACTAATAGCCATTTCTCCTTTAGGTTTCCAACAGAAAGCTCTCTATGCCTAGAACGTGCTCGTTAGTTCAAGGTGCTGCTCCAGCCTCAATACCCTTGGGAAGATCAGTCTTGTTCCCAAGCTGTTCAAAACAGATTATTCTTCCACATCTCTGCTCATTATAGTTATTCATTAGAAAACAGCAAACCATATTAAGCTCCTAGTGCTGTACCTTCACCAAAAGCAGCCACTTCTGAGGGAAAGTAGAGCAGAAGCTAGAGTAATTCTCACCAGGAGCTGACAATTATTATAAGCTGCTCACTCACTATTTTTAGAAGCATTAGGTTATTAGCATCAGGTTATTTCATGACAAATCCCACTGAACTCCACATTCCTTTGCTACAGAATATGAATCACAGATTTACTGTTCTTTACCATAACCCTTGTGCTTTACAAGCACGGCTTAAGACAGGTGTACTGATGCTACTGTTGGACTAAATTTGGATATATTCCTGAAATTAATGCAGCAACCCATCCCTTTGGGTAAGCAAAATAAACTCAAGAACTCTGTATATCCTGTGACAAGATGTCAGAGTTTTAGATGACCTAAATAAAATTAGCCAAAGTGCCTTACTCAACTGGTTCGGAGTTTTGCACAGCCCTTACTTTAGCTGACTACCTATCAGGAGTTTTTCAGTTTTTACAGCATTTAAATAGCTTTTGAGACTGCCTTAAAAGTAGTAACACTAATTTTGCTTCTCTAAAAGCACAAGGCAATGAGCACATTTTACCAAGCTGACAGACCACATCTGAAGTATGTGTATCTGATACATCCAACATAACTGAAAATAAAGACTGATGATGATAATGATCAATATCCACTAATCTTTGATTGGTAACTAAAAATTAAGGAAGAGCTGCTCTCCTCAGAAGCATGTTATGAGTTATAAAGCACATGAACTAGGCTGTACTTCAGAAAAAAAGTCATCTTTAGGAGATTTCATAAATAGAAAATTAATAAGAATGTAATAGCACTTTTAATGAATTAATTCATGAAGTTAACAGTGCTCTTCAGGAAGCTGTACTGCTTACTGCATACTTCTTTAATAAAAGACATAGAATCACTGACTAGTTGGAGTTGGCAGGGACCTCTGGAGATCATCTGGTTCAACCCTCCTGCTCAAACACGGCCAGCCCCAGGAGGTTGCCCAGGACCATGTCCAGTTGAATTTGGAATATTTTCAAGCATGGAGACTCCACAAGCTCTCTGGACAACCTGTTCTAGTGCTCAACCACCCTCACAGTGAAGAAGTGTTGTTTTATGTTCAGCTGGAATTTCCTGTGTTTCAATAGGGGTAATGCCGACCCAGGAATAAAGCAGTGTGTGTACACTTCACTAACAAATTACGTTAACTACAGCCTGATACTGTTTACACAAGTTGATCACAAGAACTTTGCTTTACAGGAGTTTGTTTTAGTGTATCTAAAATTTTGCTTTATCAGAGGGCTCAAAGGGCATGCACATTTACCCTTGGGAAAGGGGAACAGAGGCAGAAAACAAGACCATTAAAAAACATGCACAAAAATCAACCTGCAGTCTTAATACACGACTGTGTTCAAAAGTCAGTAACATTTATATTTCTTGGACATCATTTTGAATAGTTGCATTGTTTGCACAAAACATACAGGAGGTAACAGCTATCAAATCTGGCTGAGAGAGCTATGGATACTATCAATAACCTTTTGAGCTAAACACTGGCCAGTTCTATCTACAGAAAAATAAAGTTATTCTGATTATCCTACTAGCTAGAAATCATTTGAAAGTATGCAGAGTGCTCACACTAATGAAATCTCATCATTAAAGCATTCAGAGTAGAATCCATGAGTTCATGTCACAACTTTGTCATGAGATTCATCCAGGCAAACCACTTCATCTCTGTGAGTACAGCACTTTCCCCACCAGCATCTGCATGGATCATTTTACATTTAGAGGTGCTATAAAACTGAAGCCACTTGCAGACAGCAAATCACTAGGTTTTAATTCCTGTTCCATTTTTGCTTTTGAAAGTCCAAAGGCACTTCAGTCTAAAAGGACAGAAATTTGGTACTAAGCACATACAACAAATCCTCACACACAATAGAAATTAAACAAGAATTTTTCCCACATAGGAAGATC